TCTCTCTCTCTCTCTCTCTCTCTCTCTCTCTCTCTCTCTCTCTCTCTCTCTCTCTCTCTCTCTCTCTCTCGCCCTCGTTCTATCTCTCTCGCCCCCTCTCTCTCCCTCCCTTTGAGAAAAGCATAAGGAAAACCTTCCTGCATAGCTATGTGGGGAAGTCCAACAACGTACGCTAAAAATAAAAGGAAATCGAAGAGAAACAGGATCCCACATTGTTCTTTTTTAGACGGAAGTGGTAGAAAGTGAGGGCGTCTTTTCAACATTTATATTATAGAACAGATTTAAATTATAACAACATTTAAGACACCATTCGATACTCACAACAGGATCCCTGTTTTGCGGAAGATGATAGTAAAAGAAGTAAGCCAAAAAAGACGAAAGGGGGAAACATTCTTTATTTCATTTTAAAAACAAATTTGCTTATTGCTATTATATAAGTGCATCATAACAGGAAAATTATTAATAAAGTCGTTTGTAGCGTAATTCTGTCAAAAGAAGACTGTCTTTGTGTTGATTTCCATAACCCATCTATTATACTCTCTTGAATCGCGATCGCTGTTGTAGCTTTCTATGTCGCTCTTCTCATCTCACAAATATTAGGACATCCTCGTAGTAATGGTAGAGTAAGATGAGAGTGTGGAGCTTCATTTTCAATAATGCTGTTTATGGCATCAGAAAAAGCTATGATTTGACGTCCATTACCGATAAGATCGAGCCAAAGGAACTGAGAGTCTAGAAAACTTCAAAACAAAACACTGCCAGGTAAAAAAAATCCCATTTAATTGGAGGAATCGAACCACGGTTGTCCGCGCAGTGGTCGTGTGTGATACTATCTGCCCGGGAGGCTGAGCTGCAGAAATCCAGGCATCAGTCAAACATAACTGGGTATCGAACGAGTATAGAGTTATAGAAGTGCACAAAGGCAGGACAGTGGGGATACGGCAACGTTTCCTCGAGAATCAGGTTAGGACAATAGCAAACCTAAGGAAGGAGTAGGAGTAGGCCACGTCAGTATGTTCGCAATCCAATACACCAGTACTTATTAAGGAAACGCACGTATCTTCGAGTGCATTTGGGATGGCTATGTAAAAAATCAGAGAACTTCCTAAATAGAAAAATAGACACATCAAGTATCGGGAACTCTGCTCTGTTCAGAAGAAGCAACTTTTTAATGTTTGTCACTGCTTTCTTTGACCTGTTCGCCAGCTGTTGTCTGGGCTGACTCCTGTGGCGCAGCGTCTTGGCCAGACTGGGCTGTGGGCAGTGTGTGACCCGGGGAGCTGAAACAGTCGCTATTGCCCCGGCCCAGGCAGTTATGCTGTGGCCTTGACCTACCGGAATCAGATCTTCGGCTGCCAGCCGTGGACAGCCTTTGTGGGGTTTGGGCTGGTGAAGGTTGCTGTCGTTCTACATGGCTGTTGTCTATGCGGGTCTGTCTTTCTTCTTGCTGATTTTCTGTCCGTTTCTGCCCGTGTTCTGACTTTTTCTTCTGCCGATGTCGATCTATCTGTCTTTCATCTCGTGGCTGCTCATTGCGTACATTATCTTGTCCGATTATTTTTCTCTTCACAAACTGCTCATGCCCAGGAATGTTGGGTTCCGCAATATGAGACTGTGACAGTCGTTTGTGTTTTAACAGCATGTACGGCTGTCGGTGCCATTGGTCCAAGACAACCGTTTTACGAGTGGTGTGGCGAAGACCGGGCAGTTTTCCAAGCTGGCTTGGGGTCAACGTTTCAATGTTGCTGTTGCCTAAGAGGGCAGAGGCCTGGTATCCATTTTCGGGATCAAAAGTGGGGTGTTGGTCTCCGTTACGTCTGATGGTGGTTAAACGGCAGCTGTCAGACGGGTTGTTCCAGTCCCTAGAGTGGGTATCCTGGAACATACCCTTGTTTTGGTCTTTGTTTCTCAGTAGTATGGCACCTTCATCATGTTGAAACTTGCCACGAGATCGGTTTTTATATTTGTTTTGAATCCTTCCGTCCGAGTAGCTGGTGTAAGAGCGCGTTGCTTCGTGACGGCCGAGCCTTTGTGCTTGTCGCTCCAAGCTACATGACTTGGTGCGTCGTTTTCCCACAGTGTTCTCAACGATCTCTCCAAAGTCTGGTTCTGTCTCGCTCCTCTTAAAACTACGTGATCTCAATGCAGACGAACGGTGAGCAACATTTTCAACAGCTTCGGAGACTGTAGTATGATAATTAACTTGCTCTAGCCTACTCAGAGACAGTCTTCTTTTCGCTTCTCTCGGGTGTATTATTTCATTTTTCCTCCTTTTTATCTTCGCAGTACATTCTTCGCTCTCTTCTCGTACTGCCGAATGTGGCGAAATCTCTATTCCTGGTTGGGCAAGGAGGGCTGGTCTTACTGCCACTGGCGTCTGCGGAATTGCTTCATATTGACCTGTACCTACAGGGAGTGGGTCCTCGCCTCCATCTGATTTTGACTCCGGAGGCAGAATAGACAGGACATTACACCTGTTGGTCTCAGGGTGAACTGGCTGTTGCAGCATGAAGCTGCCAGAGTCCGCACTGACGTTGATAGGGAGCTTTTTGTCCACCGCGGTGCCAAATGTTTTGGGACCAACGTCCCGATTATTGCGGTTGACGGTATTGTCATTGCGGTAAACGTCTCTAGACTTGTGGAAAACATCGCTATCGTTGGGGTACACTTCGTTTCCGACGTCATCCTGGTAGATACTATCATCTCTCGGGGTCAAAGTCTCATCTGAACACTTCGACAGTGGTGTGGATGATTGAGCATGTGTAAAGTCTGGACTCTGGTTATACGAAATTTCGACACTATCAGCCGTCTGGGTTTTATGCTGTCTTAGATTCATTCTGTAATCTTCCTGATCGAAACTATTGTCAGCAGAGCCTGTCTCACTGTATCCATCACTAGCCAGGTCGGTGGCATTATACTCCTGCAAGCTCCTGATGCTTCTGCCTTGGGAGTCGGCAGTTCTGGGTTGTTTTGGTTCTAAGATGTTGGCGTTTTCACCTTCCTCCCCTCCTGAGGTTAGATCATCGCCCTTTGATCTCAATCTGCGGGGTCGTCCATTACGTGGCTCCAGGCCCTGATTGGAAACCGAGAGAGCGCTTTGCGAGTTCACGTAGAGGTCAAAAGGCCCTTCCGGGTTACTCGATACAGGCGCGCTGTGGGTGGAGCCCTGTCCGAAAAAGGAACCGGTAGGGGCCAGATCGTGACGGGAAGTGTCCTGAAAGTTGATATCGTCTGTGTGTTGAGACACGTGGTAGCTGCTCGGGGGTCCGCTCGGGTTCAATGGGTGCACGGAACATCTGCTGTGTGCTCTCTTTGCAGACTGGAGACAAAATAAACCCCCAATCCAATGAGCATGTGGCTGCAAATTGAGACGTTTTAAGTAGAAATATTAAGTTTTCACATTCCCTCGTCGATAAACAGAAGCTTAAAATTCGGTTAGGCCTAAGACGAGTCTGGAAAAATGCTGTTATACATACTAATTAATGTATTATTTTATCATTAGCAAATTCGGTGTATACATGTCTCCTGTCATTTGCATTCTACCCTGTCTGTTACTCTGTTGTTCATGGCTGTCGCTCTTGTATTTTCTCTCCACTAAATATAGCCAGTATTGTGCTTTTGTGTTTCTCTGTACTCAGGCTTAATATACTTTACCTTATACTTTATTAACTAACCGGTTAAAGATAAACGCTCAGTCAAAGTGAAAAATAACTACTGGCATATCTGTAGTCTATAGTGCAGTAAAAGTAGTAAGTTAGTACTTCTCCGACAGGCGACTGTTTGTTGCGGTCAGGTTCTGCGCCGTTGCAGTGAACGTGAGTGAAATTCCCGAGTAGGGAAGTGTTGTTTTTTTAAATCGAGTACTTACAGTCTGTCTGCTGGGATGTTCCATCAAGATAAATATACGCTGAGTCTGACAGCAGTCAGGGTCGAAGCAGCCCGTCTTTTGAGTGTCTAAATTGTGTCGATGGGTGTGTGAAACACAGTTCGAATCTTATTCTGTAGACGTATTGAATTTAGGGTAATTGCGGCTGGAAGATTCCAAAAGCCCTGAACAGAAAGTTAACGTCAACACAGACATACCCCCACACGCGTACACAAATACATACAAACACACACACACACACACACACACACACAT